GGGGGGGGGGGGGGGCGCGGCGCGCTGCAGGTAGCCGGGGCGAGACTTTGTGTGACGGCGCTGCTCACCTCGCAGCTCTTGCCGCGCGCGCCCTCGTGCTCCAGCTCGCGCACGCACCCAGTCTGCGCGCCGCTCCGCTTGGACGTAAAGTAGCGGTAGACCTGTGGGGCGGGATCCGATAGCCCAGGTGGGGCATTCGCGCATAAGATCCAAATATGTGAAAGGAGGATTTGTTGGGAGGCGCATGGTTGCAGGGGTATAGCAGCCAGGAGGGTGCAGAAGGGTCGCATGCTTGTTGCTCTACCTCGTGCATTCTTGCGGGGGCTAGCTTGCCGCAGGCGAGCACAGTCAGCAAGGCCAGCAAAAACGCTGCGTGGCGGCATGCCAATTGCTGACCAAGCAGCGCCCATGAGAACACATATACACACCTCCCAGCATCTGCGCTTCTCCTCATCATTGGCGAGATCAGAGCAAAGCTCGAGCAGGTCCTGTTCTGCACGACCGAGGACTTGAAGCTTGTGTGCACCCAATAGCTTCTCCATGGGCTCCTGCGACAGCGTAGCCCTCACGCACACGCGGGGTCGTTCCCGCACTCGCGACAACGCCGAGATTGCCGGCCCAGGTTTCACAAGCAGACTGAAAGCCATCGAGGCGTGATTTTATTCTTGTTATGCGGTGCTGTGTGGGACCGGCGAGGGATGTAGGGTGTTCTTTGCAAGCTGAGTCAGCGTAGTGTCGGAGTAGTGATTTTCAGCTTTTTGTGATCTTTGGCAATTTGAAAGAAGCGTGCACTGCAAGCCACATGCACGCGCAGCACGAGCGCGGCGACGCGATCCCGCCCAATCGAAACCCCTGAGTCGGGATGACAAAGAGCTGCAGCACCCTGTCGACAGGCGAGGTGTTGCGCTGGCCAAGCCATTGACCATGCGCCTGATTCAAACTTGGGTCAGGGATGTACACACACCGTGATCGGCCTGCCTGCAGGTCCCTCTGAATGCCTAGGGGATTGCCTCAGACAGCGGCCTTTCAAGACTGATGAGTACCGGTATGGCCCAAATTTTGTAGGCCTGGCGGACCCGGCATACTGTAACCAACATGAAGTGGACAGGCCAGCTGTAACAGCAGCTGCTGCAGTTCAACATAGAATCAGCGCGATTGCTGTTGAATGACTTGAGCGGCAGCAGTGCAGAACAGGTGCAGACAGCGGCGCATGACTAGCCCACGACAACAGCAGCCCGACAGGCCTGTGGACCACCGCTGTCGCTCGTTGGTATTGCTACGTCATCTATTCCGTGAGTTTGTTCCACGCGTATTCTGCCGTACGGTATACTGCGCCGATACTTCGCTCCAACGAGCTTGAACAACCTCCCGGCGGAGCACATCATGCTGCTTGCTGCGTTTGATGATGTGGGATGCTGATGTTCCATCATAGTTCCAAAAGACCAACAGTTGGCGCCTTTGTACCTCGAGCAGTCAAGATCGACCAACAAGCAGCCCACCTAGGGGCGCGGCAGCCTGAGTGATAACTCAATCCCATAGCGATCGGCGTGAAACTCCTGATTTTTGGAGCCACGCGCGCCTTAGGGCTCGGCGGCTAAGCGGCAGCGCGTGCAGCAGGACACCCGTCAGCTGCACCGAGTGTCGGCGG